AAAATATATTATAATAAATTTGGCCTTGTAAAATGTTCATATAAGCATTCATAGTATTAGATGTTATTTCTGAGCTTAAATTTGTCATCGTGATGGCATGATGGCCATGTTAACCCCTGGTTTTCTTGATGTGTTCAGTTATTAAGGCCTTAAAATTAAAACCAGCTGTTTGTTCTGTGGGAATGACTGTGGCTTACAGCTCTGTCGTAGCTAGCTTTGGTCTCTGACCCCGCGCTGGTTTCGCTGGATGGATACAGTTCAAATGTCGTGTGTTGTGACACACTGGCAATACTGATTTCTCTAAAATCATGTAGAGCTCTATTTGAACCTGACCCTGGGGCTGCTGGAAGAAACTGGTGTTGGACTGGGAAGTAAACCTGTTCCTGCTTTTGTATGAGCTGGGTGAACACAAGAAGCGTGAAAATAATTTTTCTGTGATTTTTGTTTTCTGCTACAGTTTATATCTCTTCTTTTCTTTTCAGACAGACATTATCAACACTATGTGCGGGTACAAAACCATTGACAAAGAGGTAAAGTAACCAGTGTCCACCCTGTCATGGCAAAGGGTGGTGCTTCTCTGCATTTTTTTGGTCAGTTATAAAATTGTCTTCTGCATATTTAAATCTACCAGACAGCTAAGTCAGCAATTAAAATTATTTTATCTGGAATAACTTTCATATATTAAAAAAACTAATCTTGTTTGATTGTGGCATCTTCCCTTCTTTGTATCTTCCGCAATTCCTTGTTTGACGTGCATGAAGCATGTCTTCCCAAAGCTCATCCTCCTTATGCTAATTGCAGAATTAATGCAAAGAAAACTTGCTTTCATACTTTTAAGGAGTGACTGAGTTGGGAAAGCTTTTAATACTTAAAAGCCAAAGTTTCTCACTGCGTAAAATCAGTTTTGGTAAAGGCAAATTAGCGGCTTCTAAGTATTTTACATCCCAGTAGGGGGGTGTTTTATTTTTAAGCCTCTAATAGTTATTCCTGGAAGAGGAGTGGGACTTCCCAGGCTGTGTTGGCAGCCCTCTCCTCCTTCCAGGAGTGGGATGGGGCCTCCTCCTTCTTCAGTCTTCCCTTTTGGGAATAGCTCCAGTGACTCCAGAGCAGAGACTGCCCGCTCAAGGCACTAATCGCGGAGTGATTAAGAAGGGAAATCAGTAATTGGATCTGCCGCGAGTTCTCCACTCCTGGCGCTGGAGTGCTGGTGCAGGGTTTGGTCTGAAAAAGCCCCTTTCCCCAGCTCATTTGCGGCACTTGGCGCACAATGGCAGCTTCGGTTGTTGGTTTTTGGGATTACCGGTTATCCTTACGTATGACCTGTCCTCATTTACGTTCATTGATTTATGGCTTAATCACCTAAACGCTCCAGCCTGGCTCTAGTGCCCCAAACACTTAAGCATATGCTTAACTTTACCCCATTCATCTGCTTAGGACCCTTTGCAGCCTCAAGTGCTTTCTATATTATGGGTTGGGGTCACGGTGCAGCGCAGCTTGCAGGACTGAATCTGAAATCCTCTTGTTCCTGCCCTTTTTAGAGTCTATTGCGAAGCACTTGGTCCGCAATTTATATTTTTCTATTGCTGTACTTTCAACCTGGAAGCAGAGATAAAAGCTAAAGAGAGACTTCTCTACTTTCCAAGTGGTCCGAAATGAGAATCGGATGCATTTCATTTAGAAAAGTAGTTGCAAGCAAAGATTGAAAAAAAAAAAAAAAAAAAAAAAAAAAAAAAAAAAAAGAAAGAAAATAACTTGTTCAGGTGTGGAAGAACCACAAAACAGGTGGAAGAATTAGTGATGAGAGCTGTGTCAGATTTGGTGGGTTTAAAGAGATGGGAAAGAGGACCAAATTTGCCTCCTTGAAATTTAAATTATCATGTGTTACTGTGTCATGCGCCAGTGAACTGCCTGTTGACCGTCTTCTCTGTTATTTTGCAGCGCTTGAGTGTTCAACATATTATATATGTCCGTGGGTGCACGAATGCAGTGCTTATTTGGTTTTTGGACAACTACAGCGTCATGGCCGGCGTGCTGCTTGGCATATTGCTACCCCAGGTAAGAAGGGCCCAGCGCGTTATCCATTAAAGGGACTATCTGATTTGTTGCTACGGTATGCGATATCCCATTCGACTATTGTCGTGGTTTAGCCCCAGCCAGCAGCTCAGCACCACGCAGCCGCTCGCTCACTCCCCCTGCCCCGATGGGATGGGGGAGAGAATCGGAGGAGTGAGAGTGAGAAACACTCCTGGGGTGAGATAAGAACAGTTTAATAATTGAAATAAAGTAAAATAGTAATGCTAATAGTAACAATACAATAATGATAATAACAATATCCAAAGCAAGTGATGCCCAATGCAATTGCTCACCACCCGCCGACCGATGCCCAGCCAGTTCCCAGGCAGCGATCGCTGCTCCCCGGCCAACCCCCCCCAGTTTCTATACTGCCCATGACGCCGTATGGTATGGAATAGCCCTTGGGGCAGGTTGGGTCAACTCTTCTGGCTGTGCCCCCTCCCAGCTTCTTGTGCGCCTGGCAGAGCATGGGAAGCTGAGAAGTCCTTGACTAGCATAAGCAGTACTTAGCAACAACTAAACCATCAGTGTGTTATCAACATTCTTCTCATCCTAAATCCAAACCACAGCACTGTGCCTGCTGCTAGGAAGAAAATTAACTCTATCCCAGCCCAAACCAGGACAACTATAATTATCATTTTTTACTTAAATTTAACATAACTGATAAGCTGAGGTGGCATTCTGGTAATCAGTAGCGTTACTGTGATATATTGCAGGGCTTGGTTGGTTAATTTGGTTTGCTTGGGTTTTTTTGAGTCCTCTCCTCCTCTTAGCTGCGTCCACTAAGACTTTCTAATAGTCCAGGGTACAGGGGCGGTAATTAGCTGTATTGGCTCTTCACAAAAATGATCCATTTGTGCCCCTATATGCAAAGAAGAATAACGATGTGAGATTCTCTCTGTGTACGTACCGCGTGCCTGCATATATATCTCACACATGTATACATAATTTGTAAAAATTTGCTGCGAGGAGTGTTAGATAAGCAGTAGTCGATCTCTGACTAGAGATGCCCCTTCCTTTCGCAGTTCCTGGGAGTGCTGTTATCCTTGCTTTACATAACTCGGGTGGAAGACATCATCACTGAGCACAAGCTGAGCGAAATGCTGTGTGAAGAAGCGCGGCAGAGATCTGCCCCCGAGTTTGCTGGAGCCAACTGCTGCATGTGTTACCCGGGGTGACTTCGGAAACCTCAAATGTCGTTAGATTACGAGGTTTCCAAAGAAAAGCAAATCCACCTGTTCTGGTTTGTGCTGCCTTCTGCGGCTACAATAAATCAGCCAGCAGACTGGCGGGGGGGGGGGGGGGCACCCAAAACCCCCCCGGATCCCGCCCTAGCCTCGTCGCTCTCGGTGCGTCTGCAACCAAAGACGTGCCAGAAAGGCTCCGTCCTGCCGGCGATGCTGCTGCGGTATCGCGCTGCTGCTGGAAAGGTGGGCTTGCGGATAATTAAATCTTTTTTGAGTGATTACTGAGTGATACGCAGCAGGGAAGACTCTTCTGGGAAGATTTGAAGGTAGATTTCTAGGAAGAGCCTTTGCATCTTGGGATGTCGTGCTTAAATGTTTGTCCTTTCCAACTTTATTTTCTTACTCCTTCCAAAAAGGATTTCTAACCGATCTACATGGTGACTATTAAATAAGTGTTTAATAAATTTTTTATGCTAATCTCAATCAATTTACTGACACTAATGGATGTGATGCTGAACACTTTCATTGCTCAGTCTTTGGTGCCTTTTAATAATGGGGCAGATGCCAATGTCAAATCAATCAGGTAAAGCTTGATATATTTTTAATGCAATTTATTACTGTCTGGCTTTTGTATAAACTTACTGGATGTTTGAATCTTGTATGTACTGTATTTTTCCCCTTTAGTAAATTAACTAGGTGATTTTTTTGAGTTCTGTATGTTGAGATGTTTCTAAATTTTATTCTCCTTGTGAAAATAAAAAAATAACTTTTTTTTTTTAAAAAAAAAAGCACAATGATTTTGTTTAAAATGCTTCTTATTTTCTTACCCAAGTTAAGCCTGTCCATCAGATGCTGAGTCAAAAGGCGGAAATACCTTGAGCTGTGATTTTGGCTTGGGCGCTGACTTGCCTGGGGTTTTGGACAGAGTCACTGAAGGTCTGTGCCTCTCTTGCTCGGGGGGTTTAGCAAAACAGCAGTTGCTTTGTCCTGAGCATTTCTCTGCAGTCTTTCCAGCCCCAGCCAGGCTTGCAGGTGAAACACACAACCTAATTACTCTGATGCTTCAAATAAACAAATTCCGGATGAGCGGGTTTGGTTTATATCCTGTCTTTGTGAACCTCTTCTTTTCTGACACTCCACTAAGCCGCACAGCGGAATACCCGATGTCATTCTCTCCTTCCTGCTTTGCTGCTGTTCTTTTAATTTCCTTGTCCTGGACGTGTTTTTTCTGCTTTCTTCAGAACTCGGTGTTTGCTGCTTAGCTCTCCGCCTTTGCCAAGGATTTCTCAGGAAGCTTCATGCTTTTCCAGGAGCCAAAAAAGGACTCATCCAGCTCTTCAGTGTTTCTGACGGTGTCTAGAGATAGAGATCCCGCTGCGGTACCAGCCCATTGTCCGCGGCGTGAGGTTATTTTCTACACAGCACACTCTAGCGTTGGGTCCTGCACATGGTTACGTATTTAATTGCTCCATATCGTCGTCACCTAAATTTTCCTGGTCTCTGGCCTGAATAATGTCTTCTGGTAAGTGTATCAGGGATAGTGTGGCCAGCAGGAGCAGGGAGGTGATTGTCCCCCTGTACTCGGCGCTGGTGAGGCCGTACCTGGAATGCTGTGTCCAGTTTTGGGCTCCTCACTACAAGGAGGACATTGAGGTGCTGGAGCGTGTCCAGAGAAGGGCAACGAAGCTGGTGAAGGGTCTGGAGCACAGGGCTGGTGGGGAGCGGCTGAGGGAGCTAGGGGTCTTCAGTCTGGAGAAGAGGAGGCTGAGGGGAGACCTGATCGCTCTCTACAACTGCCTGAAAGGAGGTTGTAGTGAGGTGGGTGTTGGGCTCTTCTCCCAAGTAACAAGCGATAGGACAAGAGGAAATGGGCTCAAGCTGCGCCAGGGGAGGTTTAGATTGGATATTAGGAAAAATTTCTTCATGGAAAGGGTAGTCAAGCATTGGACCAGGCTGCCCAGAGAGGTGGTGGAGTCCCCATCCCTGGAAGTGTTCAAAAAAAGGGTAGATGTGGCACTTCGGGACATGGTTTGGTCTAGTCTACCCTTGACTGGCTTAGAGTAGACTTGGTAGTGTAGGTTAATGGTTGGACTGGATGATCGTAAAGGTCTTTTCCAACCTAAACGATTCCATGATTCTATGATTCTATTCTAAGAAGCAAGGTGTGTTTGAAGGGTGGGTTTGTGTACAAAGAGAGGAAGGGGAAAAGGAGGGGGCAGCTTCGGAGGACCAAGCTGACTGCTGGTGAAAGAGAGGAAGATTGAAGCCGAAACTGGTTTATTGCGGAGAGTGGGCTGGGAAAGCGGGAGCTGAAAGCATCAAGAGCTGAGTGTTGCCAGAGGCAGAGCCGTGCCCTGGCCTTTAGCAAGAGGGGAATAACGCTCGAGTTTGAGATGGCAGGAAGGCTGCAAAGATAGTGGAGGAGGGAGTGACAAAGGTAATTTTTCTTTCTTTACTAATAGTGTCTTGTAAATGTTGTGGTGGTGTGAAGTACAAGGTATCTGGGAAAGCAGGAGATGATGGAAGTGTGGTTAAAATTCAGGTGGTTTAAAGGGAACAGGGAGAGTATTTGGGGATACCAGGGAGCACTTCTCCTTTAGCAAGGAAATTTGTGGGCTGTACTGAATTTTCAACCATCCTCAGAGCTCTCTACATGGTGTTTGGAGGGGGGGGTGTGTTACCTGACAATCACAAACTAAACATATGTGACTTTGTTTAAAAAATGATTGATTCAAATCCTGTTGACCCTTCCCATTCCCTCAGATCCGAGGAAATTAGCTCTTCGCTTCACGGGCCTACGGTGACCGGAGGGAAGGATGATGCCGATCGGAAGGCGGCTGGAGGAGAAGGAGGTAGCAGGTCTCTGCTCAGCTGCTTCCAGGTGCCTGAGCTGTGGGAGACGACGGGGAGACCGCAATGTGGGGGTGAATTTGCTCTTAAGCGTGCGGCTCGGCTCTTCGCAGTGTGCCGTCCTCATGTCCCATTAGTAGACAGATTTTTGCGTGGGTTTGCAGTGTGCACAAGGTGTTTTGTGTGCCTACGAGTAGCTGGTTTTATCCTGAGCCGCTGAGCTGCAGGGGTGTGCTCTGTCCTGCCCACTTCATCCGCACGAGCGAGGTCTGGAGGGGATGTGGTGTGGCCTTAGCGAATCTGCGGCTCATCTCCGGCTGGTGCTCCATGCACATCGCTGACCCAACTGCCAGCATTTTCTTTTAAAATATCCACATCCCCGTGTCCCCGAGCAGATCAGCTGGAAGCATGTGAAGGGCCAGACTCAAAATGTTGTCCTGGTCCAATTTTGGCGTTTCGCTGTAAGTGAAAACCACTGTGGCCACACTAGTGGAGATCATCTGGGCTTTTCCAGGCAGCTGACATGAAAGTTGATTCTAAAACGTGTGAAGAACACTGATCTAACTCAATCCCTGCCTTCCTCGCAGGAGCAGCTGCAGCTGGACCACTCCTCGCAGATAGAATCATAGAATCATAGAATCGTTTAGGTTGGAAAAGACCTTTAAGATCATCCAGTCCAACCATTAACCTACACTACCAAGTCCACACTAAACCAATCAAGGGTAGACTAGACTAAACCATGTCCCGAAGTGCCACATCTACCCGTTTTTTTGAACACTTCCAGGGATGGGGACTCCACCACCTCTCTGGGCAGCCTGTTCCAATGCTTGACTACCCTTTCCGTGAAGAAATTTTTCCTAATTTCCAACCTAAACCTCCCCTGGCGCAGCTTGAGCCCATTTCGTCTCGTCCTATTGCTAACTACGTGGGAGAAGAGACCAACACCCACCTCACTACAACCTCACATCCTTAAACCTGCTCTTAAAAAAACGCTCCTTGCCTGCTGTTTAAAAGGCTGAGGCAACTCTGCCAGAACTGTTACGGGATTTTTTTTGTGTGTGTGTAATTTTGAAGTGCTCCGACAACTGTGAGCTTCCCATGGTTCATCCTCCACGCGCTCCTGCTTTTCCCATGCCCCCGAACGCCCTGCCCTCCGCGGATGTTGGGCAGCAAACGGCTCCCTGCCTGCAAAAATCACCCCCGCCGGTCCTTGCTGCCTGATCCCTGTGTTGCCTCCCTCCTGCCTGCATCCCGGAGCTTTCCTGCATGTCGTGGGCTGGCTGTGTGGAGCAGCTGCCTGTTCAATGACCAGGAAACCAAAGGGTTGCAACAACTCAATGCCGGCTGCCGGCCAAGCTGCTGGGCAGTGACACCTAATTTCATCGCTCTCCCTCCCCGGTGGGTTCAGGGAGCAGGGTCACTGCGCCGCTTCAGCAGCACGGAGGGGTTTGGCACTGAGAATCATGTGCCATTCAGCTAGAAACAGAGGTTTACCTTTATATTTCAAGTAATTGCAGGCCATCCAGGCACAGTCTTGGCGCGGCACTTGGGCGATGCGCGCTGGTGAGTGGAGGGCCTGGCTGGAGCGTCCTGCACGGTATATGCTGTACGATGATGTTATGCGATAAAAATCTTTAATTAGCACGGTTCCGGAGGAGAAATGCGGAGCAGCTCTCCCTCTGGTGGCATGGGCATGCTGTATCGCAAGGCGCTAACGAAGTCTCTGCTTGCTGTGAATTAAATCTCTGCTCGGCGTGCCCGTATGGCACCGGGGTTTCTCCGGTGGCCCTGTCCCTGCCCTGCTTCAAGAAGCCCGCAGGGCTTTCACAGGCTTCGTCCCCCCCAAAGCTGGAAATCCCTCATTAGCCTCAAACCTCTGCAGCAATTAGCATCAGTTCGTGAGGCAGAGCGGGGCACTCGGGGTACAGCTGGTCGTTACAACCTGACCTAGAAAACCAGCCTCGGAGGTAGGATGAGCTAATTTCCTACTGATGGGGGGAAAAAACAAATTGCTGTTGAAGATCTAAAAACCATTTAGCTAAAAGTTGTTTTGCAGATTTGTATTCCTAAGGCCCTTTTTTTCACTAGGACTTCCCAGTGCTCGTGACTCTTGTGTACAAGCTGATTATTAAAAGGTGCTT